TCTTAACCATCCAGCAGAAAAGTATAAAAATGAAATCTAAGAAATAAAGCCATGTTATGTGGAGCTATAGGGGACTTAGGTCAACAATTTCCGACATTGCCAGTGAAGCAGAAGACCCATTCCTATTATGGGCTACTGGACTCTTTTAGAATATTTTACTGAATTTACACACCTATAATATTCAAATAATGGAACTTAACAAAAAAAGGGATATGGATGAATGTGCATTTTGTATCTGTGTATTCAAAGTGATTAGGATAGATATATAGTTACATTCTCTTAATGAATAGAGCCATTTGTTCTAATGGTGTTTGTAAATAGGATGTCATGTCCGCATCTTGTATAGCAATTAACCACTGGGAGGAATGTATGCAATATGTGAATTATTGAAACTGTCCTACCAATTTGATTTGAAACTGTCTCATTGCTATTTGTTTATCAATAAAATTATGGGAAAAAATGCTGAAAGAAAAAATAAATAAATAAACCAACCATGCATCCTTAAAAAAAAGGAATATTTTTCAAATATTTTCTCTCTCTTTCATAGTCTCTCCTCTCTCTCTCTCTCTCTCTCTCTCTCTCTCTCTCTCTCTCTCTCCCTCTCTCTCTCTCTCTCTCAGCATTAGCATATTTTGGAAAAGCAGATATGTCTAAATCATTCAGTTGGATCACATTGTCCTAAATGATGGACTCATAGGTGCAGCTATGTCCAGAGATTAAAATTGTGAAAATCATGTTCTTTTTTCATGTGTCTTGTAAAATCCTTCCCAGATATTTAGTCTCTTTCTTTTTCTCTGCTAATACTCTATGTGTTGGAACCATGCAATGAGATAAAGAATAATACATTAACTAATTTGAGTTTAAAAATGAATTTTTGAGGAAAACAAGGAATACCACGATACCTACATGGCTCACTTTTTCTCTTATGAAGGACTCAGAATTTCCTGCCCCACTTCATGAAGAACCTGTCTCCCTGCAGGTGTTAGGGATGAGAGTCTCTCCAAACACTTTAGTATTCTCTTAAGAGACTCTAACAAGAAACTTGTAAATGTTGTTGACAACTACAACCTAGGGAAAGGAAAGCTCTTAGCGCTGATATCAGCTCCCCAGGTCTGCACACCCACTGCTGCTACAGATGAAGTAATAATCACACGTCCAGTGGGAGATCAAGTCACAGAATCACAGACCCTTATTTCAGTAACTAGTCCCTTCCCTGCAGCAGTAGTCTCAGGCATAGTGACTGGAGATCGTCACACTGCGATCCCCAACCTGGCACAGGCAAGGAGCCTGGTGAGTATTTCCTATCACAAGCTGAGAGGCTGAGTTTGTAAGGGAAAGCAAAGTGAAATCTGGCTAAAGGATCCAGAATCAGGGATCCTCGATAGAGCTCGAATTAATGCCAAAGCTGCCCAGAAAGCAGACACTTTCCTGAGCAATGGGCTTAGGAATAATAATAAATACAATTTCTAAATCCTATGCCTATCCCTCAAGGCTTCTCAATTAGTGTGGTTTTCTAGGACAGTGATTTTTGTGATGCAAGCCATGTAATACTGCAGCCTCATATTTACCATTCCTACCTAAGTTGCTCTAATGTATACAAACTCTCAATTATAAGGTGAAAAATCTGAAAATATAGTACACACAAGATGGACTGTCAATGATGCTGTACTTTGTTTTTTGTTGTGTTTTATTTTGTTTTTATATGTTTGAGACAAGGCTTCTCTATGTGATTTAGCCTGGCATTGAAGTTATTTTGTAGCTCAAGTTTGTCTCAAACTCAATGCAATCTTCTTGTGTGAGCCTCCTGAATGCTGTGATTACAGGCAAGTGCCACCACACCAGTTCAAAGATTATTTACATGGGAATTTATGAAAGGGAAAGTTGTAAGTTTTATTCACACACATATAATACAAATTGTGTGCTAAATGTGTTATTAAATTGTAAGTACATAATGTATACATCTATCAGCAAAGTATACATTTCATATATATAATTTTACCAATTAAACACCAGAACTCTGTCTTTAATGATGTAAACATAAGAAAAATCAAATATTTATGCCATTATTTAAGCAAAAAATAATCACTGCTCAGCTTAAGCAGACTTCTCAGGGAAACAAAATAATGCCTACACTTCTTTTATGCCTATAAAATAAAGAGTAAGAACTCACAAGACTGACAGAGTCCTACAGAGAATGTGAGTCAAGTTATTGCACAAGTAGAAAGGTTGGCCTCTACTAGTAGATGTAACATACAATTAATGGAGACAGTAATTTTATCTTGGCTAAAAATATTTAGTCTGTTCATGGTCATATGAATGTTTTCTCTCTAAAGTTATGGTAGTAACACTTAAGCAAAAAACTAGCCCAATCATTCTAGCTTTGTGATATATGTTGTAAGTAGTATTTTTACACACCTAAAAACATACTCATAAGTTGCAAAACCTAAGCCAACCATACATGGGAGCTTCATGGCTGGGATCAGGTGTGCATCTAGAGGGAATCTTTGCATTGTCTCTGCAAATTAGCTTTGAACCTAGAACCATTTTAATCAATGAAATCATTAAAATACGTATTACACTAACACCACAAGTAAGCCCAAATACAGTTTTGTAACTTTCAAATAACTTTTTTCCTTGCACTGCCATGTTGCAAATGTGTATCCTAATTCCAAAATGGGAAGAAATCTGGCTTCGCTGTTAATAGTTTCACTTAACTGAGAGATTCACTAGCAAATAAATAAACTACCTGACCATAATACTGTTTGTTACTATTCTACACTCTTTTAGGAGGTATTGGAGTTACTGCCCTAGGTTGAGTACATGGCATGTTTATTGAAGAATTCCTATAACAAGAGTCATTGTCCTTGTTCCAGAGACTGAAACCAAGTGAGTCAGTCAGCCGCTGTCCTGGCGTCAGCTTTTTTTTGTCTCATTGCACAGAGATTATCAGGATGCAGCTTTCTGTCATAGTAACTTCCTTCAGTGCACCTGGAGTTTTTAAACATATCCAAATATTCACTCCTAAATGATGCTGCCCAATAGTATAAAAGTTCATGAGGAAACAGAAAGATAACATTAATTATCTTGCTATGAAAAAACATAGCAGCGACACGTAAAAAGAACTGAATGTAGCCTCAGAGTCCTTCAAGACCCAGTAAACTGTTAAGGTTCTCCAGTTACAGTTAGAGGCAAGCCAGTTACTAGCTCTAATCAAAATGTGAATTTAGACAAATATAGAACCTCTCTTGGGGCCAGAGTGATAGATTAGCGTCTTAAGCACCTGCCTGACAAGTACAAGGTCCTGAATTCAATCCCTGCTACCAATAAATAAATAAATAAATAAATAAATAAATAAATAAATAACCTCTCTCTGCCTAAGATTTCTTCATCTCATAGTTAAAGTCTTGGTCATGCTTACGTCACACACGGTGAAAAAATTAGTCATCATGGTTGCTACCTTCCTAGGAGGAATTTATACATTATCAGACCCATTTCAAGATGTGAATTAACATTTGGAATCCTCTCAGAAGATAAAACAGGGAATAAATCCTTGGTGAGCACCGGTGTCAGGTGGATGCTCTTAGCCCATGTGGCCTGGAACCGGCAGCTTGTGCCTTATTTTCCCTTGCAGGGTCCTCTGCACAGACAACAGGCACAGGGCAGGATGGCAGCCAGTGAAGTACTTATAGGAGTGATCTTCTTATTACAGACTGTGGCTGGAATTCTGGGCAATTCCTCCCTTCTCTACCATTACTTTTTCCTTTACTTCACTGGGAGCAGGTTAAAGTGCACGGACCTGATTCTTAAGCATTTGATTGGAGCCAACCTCTTGACTCTCTTGGGTAGAGGAGTGCCTCAGACCATGGCAGCTCTAGGTTGGAAACTTTCCCTGGGTGATGTGGGATGCAAACTACTGTTATATCTGCACAGAGTAAGCAGGGGTGGGTCCATCGGCAGCACCTGTATCCTGAGCGTCTTCCAGGCCATCACCATCAGCCCCAGGGAGTCCAGGTGGGCTGACCTCAAGGAGAAAGCTCCCAAGTATGTTGGCTCCTCCTTGTGCCTGATATGGGCTCTGTTCAGCCTTGTAAATGTCATTTTTCTTATGTACACAACTGGGAACTGGAGCAAGAAAAATCTTACAAACCTCAAACATCATGGCTACTGTTCCAGTATTCGTCAAGACAAAACCACAGAGTCATTACATGCAGCCCTGCTGGCCCTCCCTGATGTCTTGTGTTTGGGGCTCATGCTCTGGACCAGCAGCTTCATGGTTTCCATCCTACACAGGCACAAGCAGAAGATGCAACACATCCATAGGACTAATGTCAGCCCCAGATCTTCTCCTGAGTCCAGAGCAACCAAAACCATTCTTCTGCTGGTCAGCACCTATGTCTGTTTTTATACACTCTCCTGCATCTTCCAACTCTGTTTGTTATTTATTTATAATCCCAACTGGTTCCTAGTGAACATTTCTGCAATAGTTGCTGGGTTTTTCCCAGCTGTCAGCCCCTTTCTGCTCCTGAGTCGTGACTCCAGTATATGTATGCACTGTCCTGCCACTATAAGGAACAGAAAAGCAACTGCTTATATGAGGAATGGTTAGATTTGACTCAACAATTATTGTTTTTATAGTCATCCCACAGAATTGTAAGAATTGATATATTCATATCACATGAACATACTAATACAAATATGCTTGCATTATAGATATTTGTGTGTGCATATTCACTTGTGTGTTTGAAGGCATGAGCATGTGTATATACACACTACTTGCATTATGTTTATTATTCATCAAGCAATAATTCTGGAAAATTCTGTATAACAGACATGAACTTCCTGTTTAAATGTAATACTAGTTACAGCAAAGGTAAGTTGCTTTAACATACAGGGTACATTTTATAAACTCTTGTTAATTAATTTGACAATATATGAGATAAATATTTTTCTTTTGTCTACTTTTATGTTTCTGTCTTAAGTATTTCTCCTCTAAGATAGATGTAACTGAATGTAGTCTAACAATACTTCACTTATTCTTCTATGTTTCATATGATAATAAACATATTTGTACCATAATAATCAACTTATCTTGCGACTACCACTGTTGTATTTTGTTTGTTGATTCCTACAGTATTAATTTGTTGCCATAGTACTCCATTTCTCCTGGTTAGAATTAAGAATATGCTTCACTCATGAATGTGGGCAAGTGTTCTACTGTCAGAACACATCCCTAACCATTTTAATCTTTATGAAGACTAATCAGCATATCGAGTTACTTAATTTTTAGTAAACCCCTTGATAATTATGACATTGAATACTCATGTTCTCTGTTAAACCACTGATTGTTAATCCTTCTACTATATCTTTAAAACATTTTTATTTATAAGTCAGACGTGCAGTGCTATGTTCAATTCCATAAGCTGAACACACCCCTGCACTCTGCCCCTCTAGAGAAAAGCAATACTGTTAAACCCTAAGATGTGTGATCCTGTCCAACTAACCCCAAGAGTGACTGCTATTGTGATCTTTAATGAAAGACTACTTATAAGAGAGACTACCTTCATTCCTTATACTTTACACAAGTTATCATTCATTTTGAAGTCTCATATAATTGCTTTTTATAAATTCCATTTGTTTTGAGATTCATCTTTGTGTTTCTATAATGTTGGTGATATGACTTGTTTTCTTACAAAGCAATATATTTGATATTCCTATTTCAATGGGCATGTCCTGTACTATCCAGGTGATTTGAGATTTTTCCTCAAGCATGGTGTGGTGGACCACCTATAATTCCAGCACTGAGGAAGCTGAGGCAGGAAGATTGCGGTGTGATAGAGGACAGCCTGGACTACACAGTGACTTCATGACAAGACTACACTACGAAGAGAGACCTTGTCTCAGAAAATGAAGAAGGAGGGATGGACTAAGAGAAACATATTTTGTCCCAAAGTTGTGTATACGTTGCAAGATTTGTCTCCAGTGGGAGGATATTTGCATGGTGCAAACTTTCAAGATGTACCCAGACTACTGTTTTAGTCCATTCAGTAATCACCCCTGGATGTTATTAATGTTAATCCCAGAGTGTATTAATTTTCACAACCATGTGTTGCATAAACAAAAATTCCAATGGGTCAGTTCTCTGCTTCCTGTCTCCTTACGTGCTCTCTGGGCATGCTTCCACCCATGTGATTCGTGTTCTGTAAGATTCATCAGATTAGTAGATCCTAACACCATGTTCTTGAATCTCCAGAACTGAGATCTGAATAGCTCTCTCAAGCCCGCAGTGTTTCTCTTATGGCAAAAAGAACAGATCAGTACATCTTGTGAGGGGTTTTGATTTGGATGTTGTGATAAGCACTGGCCTGATAATGCTTCAAAGCACCGGATGATACTAACATGAATTCCCGGTAGAACTGGAATCCTCAGTTTATACCTCCTCAGCCTTAGGTATGTTGTCAGTTTCCCAAAATATTTGTATGACATGCAACACAAGAGATACTCTGATTTTCCAAAAAAATCATTTGAGTTTTCTTCCTTTACAGTGAATAATTTTATTTCCTTAAAAATTCTTTTCATTATAAGACTTCCAGTCCAAGATAATGTTCTTCATTTTCATCAATACATTAATTATAAGTTTGAATTTTTCTACCACAATTTGCACACAATCAGTGTGTTGAGTATGGGTGATGATTTGATCCTCTCTTTTGTTTGCTTTTAGTAAGGGTCCACAGGATCTACAGGGTCTCACTACTTAGGTCACTCATAGTGATCCACCTGTGGGCAGCCTCCCAAAGAGGAGGAATTACAGGCATGTGCCACCATGCCCAATCGCAATCACCATCTCAGGGTGCCCTGGGTCGGGGCCAGCATGGAACATCAGGGATTGAACCCCAGCCACTGCATCTGCCTAAGCAGGTGCTTTAATCCGCTGAGCTATTTTGCCAGCCCTTGATCCTCTTTTTTTAATCTAATAAGTTTTAACTTATTTTTTAAAATATTGCATATAACTTTTTTACTCTCACTGGCTGTCTCTTCTACCAGGTAACATGACTTCCCTCAGAGTTGGCTATTTAGTCAAGTATCCAGCTCTTTAAAACTCTCCTTTACTTCTTTGATTTATTAGATATATTGAGCCATAAAATCAGGATATCTGTCTTAATTACTCTTTTCTCCTTGCTGAGACCAGTACCCAACACTGAAAATGAAGCAAGGAAATATTTAGCTCACAGTTACTGGAGGTTTCAGTCCACACTCAGCTGGCTTCAAGGCAGACTATTTTGTTTTAAACTATGAAACATAGGTTGAATTACGTAGCAAGACCTCAGAGCCTTATTTGCTCAGGAGAGAGGGTCAGTGCCTCCATCTTCCCCAAATATCTCCTCTCTGCCCGAGGTGGCCTCAATCTCAGATGTGACTGCCCTGTGCTGCAGGATCCAGAGGAGACGTTGGAGTGCCACCCTGTCCAGGAGACTGGCTCCACACTTCCGAGAGGCCTCTGGCCTCAGGGAAGCATGTACCTCCAGTGAAATGCTTCTCGCCTCTCTGGTCCCTCCCCTTGAGCTCCGAACAGGTTCTCTGGCCCCGCCCCTCAACCATGCTGCTTATAGAGAAGTGAGGGCCCCATAATTTACATGACGTTTTGGGAGGTCCAACTAGACAAAAACCATAATTCTTGGAGTTGGCTTTTTAGTCAACTATCCAGCTCTTTATGACTCTCCTTCACTTCTTTGATTTATCCGATATATTCATTCAGCCATAGGATCAGGATGCGTCATGATGCTAAAACTCTGCAGTGTTAGCAGGATGTAGGGATGATATTGGAGTTGGAAGCATCATGAGTATGTTAGTCAATGGGGAAAACACTGCCAGAACCTTTCTACAGAGAGCACTGTGGAAATCTGGAGCATACGAGGCCTATAACTTCATGGGTAAATTAGTGTAAATTTCTGATATTTTCGGCTCTTAGCACTGCAACATATTCCCATCCCCAACCACATGGCACAAGATTATGCATATATTTTCCTAGAGCACCACACCCACATCTTGTAGAGATCATAAGGGCTCAAGTATTTCTGGTTTGATTCAAAAGTTATTTCCCGATTGCTCATTTGGCCTCTTACATATAAAGGGATTTACAGAGTTTGGAGCGCAGTCCTAAGATTACAGGATGACAATGCACTCCTGTGAGATTTAACAGTCCAGAGTTTTTCTTCCTCTCACCTACTTGCATCCTTTACTTCTTCTTTCAGATAACCATTTTATGTTTGCAATATTTAAAAGGATTTGAATACTTAGCAAAATTTAAGAGATCCATCATGCATAAGTTCAAATAAACAACATGAAGATCTCAGAAGACCTCAGTTTTATGGCTCAAGATAATAATCATGGAATGCAAAACATACAGAAAAAATCCAAATAGCAATAAAGTAAACAAAAAATCAGGCAATTTGAGCAGATATCAGGTGATATGATGTTGAGAACTATATTTTTATTATAATGTTCATAAATTCAGTCTCTAATCAATTAAAGGAAATAAAAGAACTGAAAAGAGAGAGAATGAAATATAACAAGGAAAGGTAATATAGAGAAACAAGAAACTGTACTCCACTCAACAGCCAGAAATGATCCACAGTGAGTGATACGGAGCAATGGCCACTCACAGAGTTTCCCAAGATGTCCACCTGGGACGACCAATACCCAAGTGGGTAAAGTGAAAATTAACCAGCCACTGAAATAGACCCTGCACAAGATAACAGTAAGGCAGCATAGTGAAAATGAAGCGTGAGAGGAAAAAAAGAAGCTGTACATAAACTCAGGTTCTGTTTAACTATAATCTGAAGACTCTCTTTTTCACTGCATCATGACATCAGGTGTCCTCTCCACCAGGACACTGACCAGGGCCTGTGATAACAACAGCAAACAGATACAAGGATTCCAAGGATGGGTTTAAGCTCAGATTCAGAATTCTAGACATCCATGAATAGGGTCCGGGAGATGGCTCAGTGGAATAAGTGCTTCCCTGACAAGCATAAGGGCCTGAGCTCAATCCCCGGTTCTGAAAAAGAAAGAAAGAAAGAAAGAAAGAAAGAAAGAAAGAAAGAAAGAAAGAAAGAAACCCATGAAATGTAAATAGCATTCAGGGTACCAAGCCAGGGAACACCAGCAAATGAACACTCACCCAGGGGCCATTGCCTACAATGCAGGCAGAGCTCCATGATTTGTACCACTGTTAAGTATTACAACTCTTGTAGGCACCACAAAATATCATTCAAACATAGTAAATCATTGAAATAATTGTGATTATTGAGGCCTTGCAAATGAACTCATTTAATGCAATAAAGCAAGATATATGTTCCTTTATCTTAAATTGGAAAGAATAAAATTGAATCCATTAGTCATTTTATAAAAAGAGAAAAAAGTGGTCAGAAAACAAAATCATTATTACATGTCCGAGTGCAGAAACTTTTATTCATAACAGGAGATTAACCAAATATAATTTTTATAGTAACTTTTAATAATAAAATTATAATGCTAAATGTATAGAACTTTATTATTGAAAGTTAACTTAAAATTAGATATCCAATGTTTGTCTGAACTGTGACAATAATAATGACATGCATGTTATTTGCCATATGGCATTCATAATGAAGAATGTTATGTAATTCATTTAACCCTTGCCATCGCTCCAACCTTGGTAATCCTGCTGACAGGACATGAAGATAAATTGAGACACGCTTATCTCCGTGCAATGCAATATGAAATAAGATTACTTAAATAAATTGTGGCATTGCCTTTTTCTATACTCTGCACCCACTTACAGGGCATGCACCTTAAGTGTATAAGTACTTGGTCAAATTCACCAAAAATCAAAATACTTGAAAATTTTTCCACATTTCCCCAACTTTCTAAGAGCATAAAATTTAAGATACTCCCAAAGAGTAAAAATTTTAGAATCACAAGAGAAAGCTCTCAAAAAGAAGCAGAGTTCTGTAAGTTTTCTGACAATAGACAGAACTTTGATCATTGGTTGGTTGATTGGTCTCCATTACTGGGGATAAAGCCAAGACCCTGCAGGCTAAGATACATTGCCACATCTCTTTCATTTTATTTTCATACAGTCTTTCACAATGGGCTCTGTTGCTCAGCATGGGCTCAAACTTGGAATGTTCTGACACATTGATTATCCTACAGAACGAGATGCGGAGCTGCAGCATCATTGCTGGCTCAGCTATGCCCTTTTCCAGTGCTGTCCATATTTTATTCATTTATCAAGACATTTATGTGCAAGGAAAGCCAATATTTTGGCCCTACCCTTCAAAGGTCAATTAAGACTCAGGACATATGAGAACTTGTACTGTAACGTCATGTACCTTGGTAGAGTCCCAAATTTTCTGATCAAGAAGATTATGGGGCCAAAGAGGAAAGTGATCGATGACGTAGAGTGTGCCTAAAGAGAGTCACATGGGGAGAAGACACTCTCTCAGGCTTTCGCAGAGAGCACATTGGCCAAGCAATGACCGTGACTCATCCACATGGCTGCACTGACAAAGGTTCTACAATCTGAGGTACAGGATCTCAAGATAAATCCTGAGGGCATTTCACTGACCTTGTCAGACCCAAAAGCTACAACTCTTGTTGCATAGTTCCTGCTTTACCTTGGTCTTAACCATCCAGTAGAAAAGTATGAAGATGAAATATAGGAAGTAAAGCCATGCTGTTATGTTGAGCTGTGGGGGACTCGGGTCAATAATTTCTGACATTGCCAGTCAAGCAGAAGACCCAATACTATTATGGGCTACTGGACTCTTTTAGAATGTTTTGCTGAGTTAACACACTTATAATATTCAAATAATGGAACTTAACAAAAAAGGGGCTACAGATGAATATCCATTTTGTATCTGTGCATTCAAAATGGTTAGGATAGATATATAGTTACATTCTCTTAATGAATAGAGGGATTTGTTCTAATGGTGTTTGTAAATAGGATATCATGTCCGCATCTTGTACAGCAAATAACCACTAGGAAGAGAGTATGTAATGTGTTAATTATTAGTACTGTCCTACCAATTTGATTTGAAACTGTCTCATTGCTATTTGTTTCTCAATAAAATTATGGAAAAATTAAGACATTCATGAATCACATAGCTTTCTCTTTTATAGTGTAATCTCACTGGCTCATTTTAACACAAAGTACCATATAATGAGGTCAAATGTCCCAAGAACTTTATAAGACAGACTGAGAAGCCACATTTTACTCACCTCTTAATTCATTAAAGTTCGACAATTTATCTCTAATGGTCCCAAGGGTTCCACAACTTACATGACAGTCCAAGAAGTACTGATGCCTGGGACACAGTTATTGATGGCCCCTTTTCAGCCCCTGGTCTCCTAGTCACTTCCAAGTCACCTGAGACTTGATGCTGAGACTTCCCACAGTTGAGGAGGTCTCACTCTAAGGAACTGATGAGGAGGAGAAAGAAATCATGTGGTCCTAGTACACCACACCTAGGACTTGTATGTCATTTAATATGTGAGTACTCTGGTCTGCAAGGCTATGCTTTATAGTAAGGCTGGAAGTGGAAATCTTTGAGTCCTTGATTCCTGCCAGCCCTTATCCCATCTCAGGGAGCCAGTTTTCTTGAGATTAATGTGACCTTTTCTGGAAGATAGATACTGGAACATGGCACAGTCCTGGATGCAGGGTTATGGGGGACTTGGGAAAGGTGGGTAATGCAGAAGCTGAGTCTTTATGCTTCCAGTGTCTGCACACTAGACTTTAAGCTTGGAGTCCTTCAGACAGCTGGGGAAGCTGCACATTCCCCCAAGAAGATAACCATGTCTTCAACTTGTGCATTGGAAAGGTGTGGCTTCTTTTCTTTAACGAACCAGAGTGGGAACAGACATCTTGCCTGGTGCCTGTATTCTGACCTCAGAGTCTTGGTGGCACTTTGGTCTGAAGGATGCTGAAATGTGCTTTGAATCCACATGATGATATTTTAGTTGTATGTGCAGGTCAGAGAGCACAACAGACCTGGGATCATTTGGTTTGGTGCTCAGAACAGGGGCCTGCATTTCTTGAAAAAGAACTTGAGAAGTCAAGGTGATTCACATCTTGTCCTTTGTCTGGTCCACAAATGCTCCTTTCAGATATTCATTGTAAGACTATATAGGGAAGAATGGCCTCACATCAGGCTTCTTGACGGGATCTGCCCCATCACAAAAAGGACCAAGAGCCAATCACTTCTTAAGGTCAAAGAAAGGCATTAGCCTAGGAGGTTTCTGTGGGAGAGGGAAGCTCAAATTAGTCAGTCCACAAAAAGCATCATCTCATTGCATAAAAGCTGACCTATTCAACCATGTCTCAATGGAACATAAAATGTTAAGGCAAACAATAATAACATGATATAACAAATAGGAAAAAAATGACAAAATTTCATCCAAATTGGGAATTTTTTAAAAAAGAACAAACCATTGAGACTCCTCAAAAATCTAAGACTGGGAATCCCATTCAATCCAGCTATTCCCTTTCTGTATGTTTTCCCAAAAGAACTGAAAACATCATACTATAGTAAACATGAGCACCCATGATTATAGTAGCACAATTTGTCATAGCCAAATCTTGGAAACAACCAAGAGTACATCACTTGAGAAATGGATGCAAAGGATATGGTATTTTTATACAATGCAGTACTATTCAGCTATAAAGAAAGACAAACTTGGAGCCTTTATAATGGGTAAGTGGATGCAACTAGAGGCTATACTCATGAGTGCAATAAATCAGACCTATATATGTAAATATTCTATTATCTCCCTAGTATAAGAACCTGAAAGAATAAATAAAACCTGAAAGGTATAATAGATATAGTAAAACAGAAAGAAACTGAACTTAAGGATTAAAGAATAAAGATGAGACAAAGGAAAAATGATAAAAAAAGAAAGGGGAAAAACATGTAAGTATATATGCAGGATGGATGAGGTGATTATAGTAATAATTTTGATCGGTTTTTTAAAATAGCAGTCAATATTTAAATTTTCACCTTGACTAACTCTGTATGCTGATATTTGCTATCAGAGAAACTACGTTGAGGTCAGCAATTTGTAATACAAAAGCCATGGTTGAATACTTCTCATCTTAGTCTTCTAAATGTGTACCATTTCTAATATCTTATCCATTATAATACTCCCTTTAAAATAATTTTTAAAAGACAAGGAAAAAACTGAACATTTCTTTAAAGGAAGCATTAATATTAAATATTTGCCCAATCTTGTGTAACTATAACTGCTAATCTGAGCGACAGATTTGACGATAGAAATAGATAATATAACAACCACTGTTAATTAGCTATTCCCATTTTGAAAACCTGTAACATATGTATTATTGTATGTTACTCTGTTTCTGTCTTTTTTGTGTTTGTTTTTACTTCTGCTTTACTCTTGAAAATTAAATTAAATTAAATTAGAAAACATAAAAAGGACAAATTTTAAAATGAGAATGTACATAGGCAAATAATTTTCATACAAAAGTTAAGGTAACTGACTGTAACCCCAACACTCTAGCTGATACAAGAAGATGGTTTGCTCATAGTCAGAAAGCAAAGTCACACCATAGTGGTACCCTGGTCCCAGATGAGGAACAAAAATTTAAAAAGCATTTGGTTTTTCACTTAGTGCAAAGAGCCTGAGTTTGAGAGTGCTATGATGGAAAAAAATCAAACAAACAGAAACAACAATAAGAAAACAGCCACAAGACATGGGGGATGATTCTCATTTCAAAAGCAGGCAGAGTAAAAACTAAGATACCAATCTAATTTTTATGAACAATTGATTAGGGGCTGGGGAGATAGCACAGTAGAATAAGTGCTTGCCTGGAAAGTGCAGGGTCCTGTGTTCAATCCCCAGTAC